GACGCCTAGCGAGATTGAATCACGCCCGGTGCCATGCCAATACCCAAAATTGCGAGTCCCTGTCTGATATCATGCCTAGCTAGGGATGACAAATAAACTCGTACCCGTGGGTAATACCCGAACCCGTCCCGACTTTGACGGGAAATACCTGATTTGACCGGGTACGGGTACGGGTAAAACCTGATAAATTAAATCGGGTACGGGTATGGGTATATACATACCCGCCTCGTACCCGTACCCGATTTAATTATATTAAAAAAATTAATATTTTATTATGTGTAATTATTTATTATAATGTGAAATATTTATAGTTGTATAATTATTAAGAAATATCTTGATTAAAATATGAGATAAAGAAATAATCTAATTATAATATAATAGAAAAATAATTTAAAAATATTATATATATTTTTTTTGCAAAAAAAAAATAATTTTTTACGGGTACGGGTACGGGTACGGGTTACGGGTACAGGTATACCCGATACCCGACGGGGACGGGGATGGGGATGAAAATCATATACCCGGCTGGTATGGGTAGGAGTACGGGGATGAGTTTGTGTTGCGGGGATGGGGACGGGTATCATAAAACCCGTACCCGACCCGCCCCGTTGCCATCCCTACGCTCGGCGCGATTCTCCCACGCCCGGCATGAGCCATCCAGGGACTTCCATTCCCAAGCTCACCCGGCGCAAACAACCTTGCGTCCGACGTGCTTTACCTATGGAACTCTCTGATGGTACATGCCCGTCGCCAAGAACTACGCCCGGCGCAATTACGAACAACAACTCTCAAACTTTGAAAATTTCACCCAAAACCTACAAAATCAACCAACTCAAACACATGCAATTCATTCAAAGAATCACATTATCAACTTACAACCCAAAAATCATCACTTTTTCAACATGCAACCATCAACACATAGAAAACCCAAATTTTCACCATTTTTCCTGAAACCCTGAAAAAGAAATTTCCTTCCAATCCGACCATCTGATGAAGAAGGTGAGGAGGAGTGATAGGTGTTCTTCTCCTAATATTCTCTCTAGCTCGGATCTTCTTCAAGGAGATGCAAACCGAATTGGAAGAACACTTGTAGGATGATGTTCTCGGATGGAGGAAGGCTTAAGCCTTGGATGGAAGCATCCAAGCTTAAGGTTCAAGGGAAAGCTCACTTTAAAGAGGAGGAAAACCTAGTAGGGTTCCTAAGGTGAAGCTTTCTCTCATGGTGACTCTCAAGAGAAAATTGGGCTGAATAAGCTCAGTCACACATGTTCAGCCAAGGTGGCACCAAACATGTGACCCAAAATGCAACTTAAATGCATCCTAAATTAAACCTAGTTTACCCTAATTCATTTAAACTAGTAATCCTCCTTAAACCCTAATCTAATGACCTAAATACAATGGTCAAGGAAATACAATGAATAGGAAAAATTACAAGAATGAAAATGAGCCCAATATTGGGTACCAAAAGCCCAAAGGCCCATGAAGCCCAAAACTAGGCCCAACAAGCCTAAAACCTAAAATGCTACTCTATGTGGTCCAAAATACAAGACCAAAATATATTCAAACTATGCTAACAAAAATATAATAAGAATGTTAATAACAAGATAGGCCCATGTTGAAACTTGGTTTGGGCCTTCCAAGCCCAT